ATCTCGCCAGCTTTGGCGTTATATATCGAAAGTCATTTACACTTTGCAAACGTTTGGATAAGGTCGTGGTTAAGGTCGCTAAACAAGTAATGATGACTGTATTATCTCCCCTGTGGCGATGTTTACATGAGATCAGACTTCTTCTGAGAACAGCAATAGCAATGTCAATCCTGTCCCACTCCTCTTTTGCAGACGAAAGTTTTAGGTTTCTGACTTGCACGCGCCAAACTCCTAAATAGACCAAAGGCACCAAACTCCATTGGAGTTACTACGGGAAGAGAGGTGGGGGGGGGGGAATTCATAGGTGTGTAGTCGCACAACATTGTTATAATTCCCTGGTTTTATTTGTTTGGATTTTATGCGCTACGTTTTGTTGTTGTTGTTGTTGTTGGACATGTTGTCTGAATATTGAATCCAAACCAAAGTACTATTGTTGCTAAGATAATTTTCCTTTAGACGTTAGAACTACCATTAACATTAGAATTAAGCAACATTTAAGGTGACTGCTTTTTAATTCAAGGGACTTAAACTAAACCTAAAAATACGCTTATCCATCACCTATTGTTTCAGTTACATTACTGGTTGTAAATTCTCAACCACCACACGCTTTTTGTTGTTGCTGTTTAAACAGCATGTCTTTTTAATTTGTGTTCGTCCTTTCACGGTAGAGTTCATGTATTAATATTTCGTTCATAAGTATGCTCATATGTTGTTTTCCATGACTTCATTACGATACCCAATCATTCACGTGGTCTTGAAACGCTCCCCATCCACGTGCCGTAACGGGATAAATACATAATTTGGCATGGAGATGGATAACAGAGCTCAAAATAAACCATCATGCGCGTTGTTGTATGTGCAACATTAATTTAAAACAGCTTCCACCCGTCCAAATATTCTGCAACGCTCTCGTGCGTTCCCAAATATCTGCCACACGTGCATTAACGTGACAATAAAGACGTCTTCGAACCCAATTAATCGTTTGTGAATTGCGAGTTTCTGTCCCCATCATCTTTTATTTGTGACACTTACGTTATGTGGGTGTCTGAAGGAAAGATGCTTACTATTGTATTATCAATACATTCTATACACATTTAGTGTCTTTACCCTTATGTGTCCACATATCATAGTCCAGGAAGGTATTGCACAGCCCACACGTAGCTATCTACATCTTCGGAATTCCTGTTAACAATGTGGTATCATGAGGGCATGGCGTTTCGAAGAACTGAATACTTTAAATCATAAGTGGCCAATATAAGTATGCGAGAAACGGTGCCTCGCTTCCGTTTTTCTACTATAAAAGAAGGAAGACGGGTTTCTTTGGTGGAGAGGTTCACTACAAGCCATTTTAATCGTCATGGCAACATCTAGACCGCTGATTATTTTCCTCTACTCATTGTTAATACCTTCACTCGCTATCCGACCACAACCGGTAAGTTGGAGAACCTGTAGCATTGAAAATATCTTATGTTGTTAGTGAAGTAATAAACAATAGCTTTATTTCATATATAATATAATAACATTGTAGTGATTCTGTTGTATATTTCAATGCTGCACCAGACGTCTCTCTTATAAAGTATTTTAGAAAACCTTTTGAATTTATTTCTCAAACGGAAGAGTGTAGTTTGTTTTAGAGCAAAGCCATATAGGGCTATCTGCTGTATCCGCTACGGGGAATCAAACCCCGAATTTTAATCTTATAAGCCCATAGATTTATCGCTGACCCAACGGGTCGTGATATAATTTTTAATATCTGTTTTCTATGTTAGATTTTTCAGCTTGTAGCTGTTGTAGTGCTAGCTGATGTATTTTTGAAATGCTTGAGTAGTTGTACGATCTCTGACCTCAGTTGAAACAGGGGGTTGATTTCACTGAAGTTAAAGGTCGTCCAATCACTCAAGAACGTTAGTTTAACACTTACATTTTGCTTTTATGTTTTCTAAACGTACACCCTAACAAAATCAATGTTTTTCATTGCTACCTTGGGTTTTGCAGCAATATTTATGGTAAACACAAACTTATAAATGCATTTGCATAGGTTTGTCTTTTAAGGTTTGGAGTGTGGTTAATTATAGTATTTAGCTTCATGGAAAGCATGAACAGATATTGCCATTATGAGTTTAATCTAAAACATTAATCCATGAACAGATATTGACGTCATGAATTGTGTTATAATAGTTTTTACACATTGTCAGCAGATTACGAGTCTTTAATTAATTGAACCAACACTATCACAAACAACAATATGTAAAACTATCTATAAAAAGGGGAAGACATTTTTGATGACAAATTAACAACCTTTTCATCAAAATCAAGTTTAGAGTTTACAATTGGGACTTGTGAAAGCGAAATCTATATCAATAATACGCTTAAGTTTGTCTGTTTGTCTGTCCGGAATTTTCCTCGGAAATTTCTCGATCAAACGCTTCAAATCTCATATCGTCAGAAAGACCTTTGTCTGAGGAGTCCGAATTGCATATTGGCTTTTCAATTCAGAATAACCGTACCTGTTTTTTGCTTTTTTTAATGCAACGAATATGCTACAGTATGGCACAATGTCGTTGTCATCACGTGACAAATTGCTTTGACTGACTTCGGTTTCCACTTTAGTTTTTTATTTGCAAAGTATTTCACACAAACAATACTTAACACGCGTTTAATTTTCTAAAAAATTAACATTATACTAAATACAATTGCTATGTGCTTTCTCTACTTATTTAGGTCTAAAATACGCTTACGCAGTTCGTTCAAAACCATACGATTATCACTTTCTGAACAAGCATTCAGACGTTTCTGCATATTCAGCCAAGTTTGCCTTCATTACAACTTTACATTTACTTTACTTTGCAATAGTGTAGCTTCGGTTTGTTTCATAGACTGCAATAAACAACTTTTAGCTACTTTTTTCTTTATTACGGGTTATATTATTTGTTGTTGTTTTCTTTTTTTTAGTTTCTTTGTTTCAAATCATAAAATCGTGTCATACACTGAACGCTCATAACTGTTTCATACTCTGTAAACTATTATAATTACCATTACTTTACTTTAATGTTTACTTTACGTGTAGTTTTATTACATAAAGCTACTTTAAATAAAGTCACGTCTACGTGAGGTTGTTTGTTTAACTGCGTATTTTTTTTTTCAAGTGGATCATGATGTATCTGTCTCACACATAATGCCTGCAAGAAAGTGTAGCTTAAGTGCCGAGCGTGAAAATGATAGAATAAGGAAAATCCAAGCGAGGAGCATGAAAACTACCGCAAATGTTTTGCGACCTACGGCTAGTATATACTTAGTATATTAATATTTACTTACCGATCAAAGTAATGAATAGAATAATTTTTTTTTTCAAAGATCACGTTTCTCTTATTTGTTTTGACGTTAAACACAAAGCTACACAAGGGGTTATCTGTGCTCCGCCTACCGCGGGTATCGAAACACAATTTTTAGCGTTATAAGCCCACTGACTTACCTCTGAGCTACCAGGTGCTTGACACACGAATCACACGATGTTTAGGGGAAGACATATTTCTAGTTAGATCGGTTTGTTTTGTTTTGAATTTCGCGCAAAGCTACACCAGGGCTATCTGCGGTAACCTTCCCTAATTCAGCACTGATAGACTAGAAGGAAGGCAGATAGTCAACACCACCCACCGCCAACTCTTGGGCAACTCTTTTACCAACGATTGACCTTCACATTATATCACTCCCAATGCTGATAGGGCGACGGGGATCCGAATACACAACCAGCAGATTACGAGGCCAGCGATATAACAACCAGGCCATGCCAGACCCTTTCTAGTTAAACTGTCAGGAAATTTTGATATTATATTAAATTTTATTGCACGTCACCATTTGTATTATTACATACATATTGTTGCCCAATATCTCTAATCTGTTCATCATTAACAAATATGATGATCGATCTAAACCTAATTTTGTCTTAAGAAGATGAATGACGAGTAGTTCTTTCATACACGAATTTCCTTCATCACTGGCTGTCTTTAGAATGGCAAAGCTACTATTAAGATGTGTTCCGTTTAATATTGGTTTTATCATGGTAAAAACAGTGTCTGTGATAAACAAACTAATTACTTAAGTGTTCACTTATCCTTCCACTACTCTGCTTTATCTACTGTAATATATATAATCCTCTACTTTATCCACTGTAATATATATAATCCTCTACTTTATCTACTGTAATATATATAATCCTCTACTTTATTTACTGTAATACATATAATCCTCTGCTTTATTTACTGTAATATATGTAATCCTCTACTTTATCTACTGTAATATATATAATCCTCTACTTTATTCACTGTAATATTTATAATCCTCTGCTTTATCTACTGTAATATATATAATCCTCTACTTTATTTACTGTAATATTTATAATCCTCTGCTTTATCTACTGTAATATATATAATCCTCTACTTTATTTACTGTAATATTTATAATTCTCTGCTTTATCTACTGTAATATATATAATCCTCTACTTTATTGTACTGTAATATCTATAATCCTCTGCTTTATCTACTGTAATATTTATAATCCTCTACTTTATGTACTGTAATATCTATAATCCTTTGCTTTATCTACTGTAATATTTATAACCCTCTGCTTTATGTACTGTAATATCTATAATCCTCTATTTTTTCTACTGTAATATTTATAATCTACTTAAGTCCTCTTTGAAAACGAGGAGAGTTTGTAATGATTCTGTAATTCGAAGTTTCAAATAAACTTAATAGGTATAAGAATTTTAATGGACTGCAAGTGCCTGTTGAAAAAACAACAACAAAAACAAGACAACTTTTCGACTTCTACATTGAGACTTCGGTATAAAAACCGAAACTTCGTCTTTTTTTTTTCTTTCAACTAACAGTCCATTAACGTTCTCAGACCTACTGTGTCTACTCTGCCTGACGTTTCACTGAAACAACATCTCAGATATATTGTTTATGCGACTGCTGTATTATTATTGTTTTGTTTTTCAGGTTGAAGACAATGAGGTTGAAGATGGTATTCTTCTTATTGGAGAGAGAGAACTTCAACTGCCAGAACTGCCGGTAGGTTTGAATACAATAGAGGAACACTAATGCAGTTGAGCATTGTATTATTAAGCCTTTTTATAAATGTTTAAATTGGGGGGCGGTGCCAGCCTCTTCCCTGTGAAGAGGCTGAGGTAGACTAAGTACAAAAACTGAGGGGTTGCAATATACATCTTGTGGGCACATAAACTGAAGCACTTAGGAAGTGAACCAGTTTTTACAGTAAGCACTTTTCGTTGGATGCTGGAGGCTACAGGAGAGGCTAAGACACGTTTTGGGGTATCTTCCGCCCCAGCAAGCACTCCTGCTTAATTGGATTTTTCTTTCACATTTCTGTAGTTTGGAGAAACATTTGTATCATCGTTACAACTTTAAATATCTGTATTGTTTGTTGTTAAGTTATGTTTAAGCCTAATATTCATTTTTCGAAATCACAGAATGCTATATAATGATAGAATAAATACACGGGCTCGATTCCTGTGGTGGGCACAGCGCAGATAATGCATGGTGTAACTGTATGGTTAACAATAAACTCTCATCATAATCGGGTAAATACTCGCAGGTTAAACTGTTTGTATACTGTGAACTGACGCATTTTATAAGAAAAACGGTCCAAAATCCGTGATAACTTTGGAGCTATTTTCTCTGCCATTGATTGTGTTCAGTTTTGAAGCCAATCATTGCACAACACAGCAATCTGAACTATAAAAAGCTTCTGCGAAGAACGAACGGTGAGGTCAATCTTAAATCATCGATCCTTCAAAGATTTTCCACTGCACGTGAACGTCGACTACTAAGGCCACGTTTATACAAACAGTACGAATGCACGAATTTGCAATGGAGTTGTATTAGGAGAATTTAGAGGTACATGACCACTGAAGTTACATCAGGAGACTTTACAGGTACATGACCACTGAAGTTACATCAGGAGACTTTACAGACGTGACCACTGGAGTTGCATCAGGAGACTTTACAGGTACGTGACCACTGGAGTTGTATCAGGAGACTTTACAGGTACGTGACCACTGGAGTTGTATCATCAGGGGACTTTACAGGTACGTGACCCGTCAGCTAGCTTTCTGTGGAATCAGAATTTGAGTTTTTGAGAATTTAGGGAAAGTTGGTGAGTCTTCGAACATTTTCAATCCTTGTTTATATAGCTGCACTAGAAGATATACCCAGCTTCATTGTAATGACTTGTTGGATCTGATGATTCTTTTTGGTAAGTACAGTCTACACTTTATGGATGGAGGGGAGGGAGGCATTGCTCTAGATTAGCTTAGGACGTATTTTCGGAGCACAGTCCTGTCTTAACCATTCAGCTCTTCCAATTTTTCCACTTCCACGAAGAAAATGAAGTCATCCTTCTTCGAAATATCTTGTCAATTGGGATTACAATGTCCAACAACCTCGTTTTACAAATATCTTTCCTCGGCTAGGACTGTGACATATTTCTCCAACAATTACCATATGTGTCGACGTTACACGTCGAATGGTCGAAATTTCGCCATAAACAAGTTATGTAGGTAATGAATATGACGTCTGTGGCGTATGTTTATCTAAGTGATGCACGTTTATTTAAGCTATGGTTTGGTTTTAATTACCATAAGCTTAAATTTAATGTTGAATTAGAAATGCCCCCCTTTACCCCGAGTGGCTGAGCAATAAGTCTGAAGGTTTATAATGCTAATATCGGGTTTCGATACCCGTGGTGAGCGCATCACAGATAGTAGCTTTGTGCTTAAACAACAAACAAGAAAACAAAAACTAGAAATATAAAGTGAAGTTCTTAAACTTTACACATTTACACTAATTTGGACATGACCGACGAATTGACCAATTCATGACCGAAATTCTCCATCTTATACTTCGATACATAGAAATCTTTATCACAAATATGCGAAACGACACGCGTATTTTCCTATATCAACAAACCATTGCTCACTTTCAGTGTTCAAACTTTGTTATATTCTTCAATTCCAGCAGTCATTGTTACAGTGAATAACATGTAGTCGAATTGTTGAAGCTGTCCTTGTAAATTTACTGGGTGAAGGGTAGCTTTGAGTTAAATATTAGCAAGAACTTTGTTGTTGTTTTTTTGAAGTTTCACGAAAGGTTTTATCAGTTTTTACAGACTAAGACTTTTGGTTATTTCTTGTGTCTCACCTGATGATGCCAGATGTTTGTTTGTTTGTTTTTTTAATTTCGCGCAAAGCTACACGAGGACTATCTGCGCTAGCCGTCCCTAATTTAGCAGTGTAAGATTAGAGAGAAGACAGTTAGTCATCACCATCCACCGCCAACTCTTGCGCTACTCTTTTACCAACGAATAGTGGGGTTGACCGTCACATTATAACGCCTCCACGGCTGAAAGGGCGAGCATGTTTGGTGCGATGGGGATTCGAACCCGCGACCTGCAGATTGCGAGACTGATGCCAGATAAACGTGGTAAAACACTGTGAATAAAATAAAGTTTTACTATGTACAACCAATAAAACGTTTCGGCAGAGTAGCTTGTTTTTTTTTTATCTTTTTTTCTTATAAATATAAAGACGTTTCGCTCTTCAATTTTATTTGAAGCTGGACTTCTTGAATACAAACCCTGCCATGACAGAAGATAATAAACTTCTAGTCCAAGGAGACATGGTCTTAACCCTGGATCAAGCTGCGAAACTTTATGGTGGAAGGACTGGTAGGAAGGCGACATACAAGGACGAATATCTATGGCCGAATGGAGAAATCCCTTACAAACTGAGCAAACAATGTAAGTATACCTTTATCCGATACATCTTACAAACTGAGCAAACAATGCAAGTATACCTTTATCTGATACATCTTACAAACTGATCAAACAATGCAAGTATACCTTTATCTGATACATCTTACAAACTGAGCAAACAATGCAAGTATACCTTTATCTGATACATCTT